GCGGCGTGGGTGTGTGGCATGGGTCCGTGGCATGGGTGCATGCCATGGGTGGGTGGCGTCTTCTGTCCGGCATGCAATGACTGGCTGGCAGGGCGTGGAGAAGATCCGAGTGGCGGATTTCGTGCATGGCACTGACGGCATGGGCAACACCAATCAGCAGCCGCCACGTGGCAAGCCCATAGACAAGGGAGCAGCACAGTTCCTGGTGGACACGGTCAGGGCGTCACCCGGGCAGATCACTGTGGTGGCTCTGGGGCCACTCACCAATTTAGCCAAGGTGCGCGGGGTTTGAGCCGCCTAAAAAGTTGCTCCTCAAAAGTGCAACTCAAATGGCCGCCTGGGCAGATCACAGGGATGGCACTGGGCCTACTCAAAACGTGAGGAGCCTGAAAAGTCACTGAAGTCCCTCAGAAGTCTCGCGCGCAGGTCACAGTGGTGACTCTGGGACTCCTCTCCAATATAGCCAAGGCGACCAAGTTTCTAGGCACCCAAAACTGCAGTTTCAAAAGTGCGTTTCAAATGGTCGCCCGGGCAGGTCACAGTGGTGGTTCTGGGCCCGCTGACCAGTTTAGCAAGGGTGAGTGATGTTAGGGCCGCCTCAATCTACACCGCAAAGTGCACCTCAAAGTGCACCTCAAAGTGCACCTCAATCTACACTTCAAAGTGCACGTCAAACAGGGACACCGCAGGCGAATGGCATGAACAGCACAGGCGAGTGACCCCTCATCCTCCTGCAGCCTACCAGCAATGTCGTTCTGGGTGGCGCCTTCAGCCCAGCCCCTGTCCCTCATCATCTCCCTCCGTGCTGTCCCTCATCATCTCCCTCCGTGCTGTCCCTCATCATCTCCCTCCGTGCTGTCCCTCATCATCTCCCTCCCTGCTCTGCACCTGGAATGGAACCCTCCTTCCCCCAACCGTGGCGGATACCATTATTCTGGGCGGCGCATTCAGCCCAGCCCCCATCACTCATCATATCCCTCTGCAGCGGCATCTCTCCTTCCCCCAGCACGTGCCAGAGATTCCCCTTCAGGGCAGCGCATTCGGCCCAGCCCCCATCGCCCCACCACCATCTCCTGTGCCTGCTTGCCCTTCCTCTCCCCTCACTCCCCCAGGCGCTACAGCTGGGCCTGTCTGGCCGGTGCATTCGACCAAGCCCCCGTCAGTCATCATCTCCCGCTGTCTCTGCTGTGCAATTTCCCTTCCTCGCCCCCCCACCCCCCCCCCCCCCCCCCCCCAGGCTCTGCAGCTGGATCCGTCCTTCCCCCAGCACGTGGCGGAGATCATCATCCTGGGCGGCGCCTTCTTCACCAACGGCAACGTCAATCCCGCGGCCGAGGCCAATGTGAGTGGCGAGGCCAATGTGAGTGGCGAGGCCAATGTGAGTGGCGAGGCCAATGTGAGTGGCGAGATTTGAGAGTTGAGTCGACTTGAAACTCAATATGAGCGGCGAAAGCCAATGTGAATGGTGGGGCCAATGTGAGTGGCAAGAAAAAAGAAGCCTCCCACCCAACCCCTTTCTTGTACGCTATTCCATTGTGCATCTGCTGCTCTCTTCCATTGTGCCTCTGCTGCTCTCTTCCACTCACGTCGTTCCCCATCCTTGTCACTGGCTGCAATAGGATTGACGGGTGCAAAGTGAGGCGGTGGGAGGTGGGTAGGCGTGACGGGCAGTGGGGAGATGAGATGGCACGTCATCAGGGAGATGAGATGGCACGTCATCAGGGAGATGAGATGGCACGTCATCAGGGAGATGAGATGGCACGTCATCAGGGAGATGAGATGGCACGTCATCAGGGAGATGAGATGGCACGTCATCAGGGAGATGAGATGGCACGTCATTAGGGAGATGAGATGGCACGTCATCAGGGAGATGAGATGGCACGTCATCAGGGAGATGAGATGGCACGTCATCAGGGAGATGAGATGGCACGTCATCAGGGAGATGAGATGGCACGTCATCAGGGAGATGAGATGGCACGTCATCAGGGAGATGAGATGGCACGTCATCAGGGAGATGAGATGGCACGTCATCAGGGAGATGAGATGGCACGTCATCAGGGAGATGAGATGGCACGTCATCAGGGAGATGAGATGGCACGTCATCAGGGAGATGAGATGGCACGTCATCAGGGAGATGAGATGGCACGTCATCAGGGAGATGAGATGGCACGTCATCAGGGAGATGAGATGGCACGTCATCAGGGAGATGAGATGGCACGTCATCAGGGAGATGAGATGGCACGTCATCAGGGAGATGAGATGGCACGTCATCAGGGAGGGAGGGTGCACATGGGTTGGCTTGGGGAGGGTGCACATGGGTTGGCTTGGGGTGGGTGTGAAGGTTCTCGCTCACTGCTGCCATCCTCGCACCCTTCCTCTTTTGCAGACTTCTGACTGCCATGCGAATGCTCTTTGTGGACTCCCATGATCCGTTCAAATGATCCATCCCCATGCCATGCCCCATCGACTGTATCCCCCCCGGCAGATATTTGGAGACCCAGATGCAGCAGATGCCGTGTTCACGTGTGGCGCCAAGTGCACAGTCATAGGCATCAACATCACGCACCAAGTCACCCTCTCAGGTGATTGAAGCAAGTCACCCTCTCAGGTGATTGAAGCAAGTCACACGTCGCAGTTCTACTACAGGCACCAACAGATACCAGGTCATTCTTCAGATGGTTCCAACCAATACCAGGTTCTATTCTAGGTGGTTGCAACACAGCCTGTAAATTCTTGCTATTGCCATGTACAGCTACTATCATTTCCTTTCCCACCACATGTGCTGTGTGTGTGCTGTGCATGCTGTGTGTGCTGTGCATGCTGTGTGTGCTGTGCATGCTGTGTGTGCTGTGCATGCTGTGTGTGCTGTGCATGCTGTGTGTGCTGTGCATGCTGTGCATGCTGTGCATGCTGTGTGTGCTGTGCATGCTGTGCATGCTGTGCATGCTGTGCATGCTGTGCATGCTGTGTGTGCTGTGTGTGCTGTGCATGCTGTGTGTGCTGTGCATGCTGTGCATGCTGCGTGTGCCGTGCGTGCAGTGAGGGACATGGAGGACATAAGAGACAGCAAGGGGCCGTTTGGGCGCTTCCTGTACGACACGTCGCAGTTCTACTACCGCTACCACAAGGAGTCGTATGGCATGGATGGTACGTGGCAGGGTTGGTGGGTGGATGGATGGTGTGTTGTTAATTTGCTTAAAACACATCGCAGTTCTACTACCGGTATCACAAAAAGTCATATGGCATGGATGGTGTGTGCTGGGGATGGTACCTAAATGCTATCTTACACTGTTAAGCCTCCCTTTCCCCAAACCTCCTCCCACTTCATAACCCCCCCACAGCCGTGCACCTGCATAAACACCCTCCCCAGTCAACCCCCCCACCCCTTTCCACCTCCTTGGTGTGGCAGCCGTAGAATACTCGGCTCTCCACACTGCCAGTTCCATCCCATCGCCTTCTCCCCCTTCTCAATGCCTCTCAACTCAAAACCCGCCCGAATTGCCTAATTTCCCCTGACCGCTGCTCCCCCCTCCATGCACATCAGTCCATTGCCGAACCCCACCATGGTCATGCCACCCGCCCCACCATGGTCATGCCACCCGCCCCACCATGGTCATGCCACCCGCCTCTGACTTGCGTTTATGACTCCCCTGTCACACCCTCTGGCCTCTCACCACTCCTCTCCCCCCAATGTGCTCTGTGCAGCAGTGCACCTGCATAACCCCTCATCCCTCGTCTCCTCATCCCTCATCCCCTCATCGCTGATTCCCCGCCTGTGCCCCATGCGGCAGCAGTGAGTCTGCACGACCCCACTGCCATGGTGACCACTGTGGACGACCCAGCAACACTTGCACTGCGAATGCCCACATCAGAACCTCCTCCCCCCCCTGTCTCTCCCCCCTGTGTGACACCGTGCAGCGGCGTACTGCACGACCCCACCGCCGTGGTGTTGCATCAGTAACTCGCCTGTCTTCCCTCCCTATTTCTTCTCACCCACTCCTCTCTTCTCTTTTCCCCACCATGTGCCCCATGCTGCAGCGGTGTACCTGCACGACCCCACCACCATGGTGGCTGCCACCCCCCTGACTCGCATCCCTCTGCCCTCCCACCCACTCCTCTTCTCCCACCCCCCCCCCCCCCCCCCCCCCCCCCCCCCCATGTGTCCCGTGCAGCGGTGTACCTGCACGACCCCACCACCATGGTGGCAGCCATGGACGATTCGCTCTTCACCTTCCACGAGGGCGTGGTGCGTGTGCAGCTCGACGGCATCGCCAAGGGACTCACTTTGCTAAACAACACCAACAAAGTGTGAGTACCTTCCGAAAGGGTGGATGTGATGTGATGAAATACGCTGCTGTGATGTCTGTGGTTGGAAAAGAAATTGGTAGCAGCAGGAGAGTGCGACTGCTAAGGGCAAAGTATAGAATGCAGGAAAAGCAAGGGGTGCTCCGAGAATCGAACTCGGGACCTCTCGCACCCGAAGCGAGAATCATACCACTAGACCAAGCACCCACTGACTTAGCGATTGTTGTATTGTTTTCTTTTTCATGATACAGCCTCCCCGTCTTCAGAGCTCTTAACTCTTTCTCCCCCTCTGGTGTTTTTTTCTCCTGGTGCAGTTAAATCGCCCCACAACATGGTGTTCCCCACTGCCATTAACCTGCATGGTTCCTAATTGCTTGATCTCCATCATCCTCCCTCTCCCCCTTGTCGCCACCCAGGTGGAACACCCCCACAGCATGGTGTGGTATACCACCAGTGCGGGTGGCGGTCACAGTGGATGCCGATGCTGTCTCTGCCCTCGTCAAGCACCGCCTCTCCGCCCCCGCCCCTCCTGCACTCCATTGAACCCGGCCTGTTAACCTGCTGCACGGGTGGGAGGGCTGGTGGCAGTGCCAGGGGATACCTGTGGTCTCTGCTCCCCTCGTCCAGCACCGCCTTTCCTCCGCCCGTCCTCCCCACAAGCAGCGCCTCCCAGTCCTGTGTCCTTAAGAGCAACGCCTCAACCTGTGCTTCTGCCACCATCCCCTCCTCACCCTCCTCCTCACCCTCCTCCTCAACCTCTTCATTCCCGCACCCTCCTCACCCTCGTCACCTCACCCCTCACTCGCATCGTCTCTCTCATTCCTGGCATCTCACAACTCAACTCTGCTTGGGCCATGCTGCCCCACCCATACTATGACGCAGCAGCTGTGATTCCGCTGCACCCCCACCCAGCCCCACCCCCAACTCGGCACCTCTCTTCAGCCCGTGGCATCAGTCTGACCCATGGTGGCATGGAGCGGATTGTTGACATGCAGTCCACCCCTGCATTCTCCAGCTGGTGTGGTGTGCTGTAATTTATCCACGTGAAGCAGCTTTGTTACTGTGGATTGTATCAAAGCTGGTCCACCTTCAAGTGCTAAGTAGGTACTCCACTCCACTACTCTGTACATTTGTTAGGCTCCTCTAACCTGTGGGCCACGTACTGTCAGTCCACTCCACTGCCCTGTACATACCCGCCCTGCATGTTGGAAGGACATAAACAAAATTCCACACCCATTCCTCCAGCTGTTTGAATTGTGGTACAGATTTGCAAATACTGTGGGGGAAATTATTTTACACAAAAAGGGAGTGGCAAAACCCTGAAAATTACAAACCCTAACCCCACATTCTGTTCACCCTACTAGGGAGCGCTTCTCGTTTACCAGAGCCCAGCACAGCGTACAGCCAACCCACGCAGGCTACATGCGCAAGCAACTAGACTGCTTATTGGCGAATGGGCTGGCTGGCTAGCCGGCTAGACAGCTAGATGGCTGGACGGCAGCAAGATGGTGGCGGCTGCACGGCTAGACGGCCAACATCACTCCGGTTGGATGGCCATGGCTAGACGGCCATGGCTAGACGGCCATGGCTAGACGGCCATGGCTAGACGGCCATGGCTAGACGGCCATGGCTAGATGGCCATGGCATCGCCGAAGTTGCGCATGAGAAAGATGGCCCCTCCGAACGCCGCCACGGCCTTCAGCAGCCGCTGCACACACGACATGACGGCGGGGTTGCCATGGGGGATGGCAGGGGGGATGCAGGGGGGATGCAGGGGGGATGCAGGGGGGATGCAGGGGGGATGGCAAGGGGGATGGCAAGGGGGATGGCAGGGGGGATGGCAGGGAGGATGCAGGGGGGATGCAGGAGGGATGCAGGAGGGATGCAGGGGGGATGCAGGGGGGTGCAGGGGGGTGCAGGGGGGATACAGGGGGTTTTGATGCACACGGTGAGGGACGCGGTCACGTAAAACGGAAAGACGAGGGGCGGATGGGGAGGAACGAGTTGAACATAGCAGGGACGACGGTAACCAGATGCGAGTCACGAATCCCGCAAGGCTGCTTTCATAACGAGCGGCGTTCATAACGAGCGGCGTTCATAACGAGCGGCGTTCATAACGAGCGGCGTTCATAACGAGCGGCGTTCATAACGAGCGGCGTCCATAACGATTGGCGTTCATTACGAACAGGGTTCATAACGTCGCGATGAAAGCAGCTGAGCCGCAGCTGAGTGGCATCCGATCCCCAAGTCGGGATCGATGGCACAGGGACGATCGAGCAGCGAGTGGCGAGATGCGATCTCGTTGTTCCTAGATGGGGGACACGGAAGCGGGAAAAAAGCGGCCGGGTACGAGGCCGAACGGGGGCGATCCATCTGTTGCCTGGCTGGGAGCGAGACTGGATCGACCTAACGCGTCACGCACTAACGCGTCACGCAATAACGCGTCACGCACTAACGCGTCACGCAATAACGCGTCACGCACCTAACGCGTCACGCACTAACGCGTCGAAGCATCTGGCTCGCGAGTGCGTCAACGACGAAGAGCATCTACCAGTGGAAGCGGCACGGCACGGCTCGGCACGCACCAGATTGGCGGCGAGGCGCTCTTCATCGTTGACCTGCGCCGCCAACCACGCCTTCGCGGATGCGACGTAACCCTTGGCCATGGCGGACTGGCGTGATTTAGAGCTGAGTTGATGTGGGTGTGGAAGGTCGGAAGAGACTCGATATTTTTTTATGACGGGCGGAATGACGGCAGCGTAGTGGGAGTGCGCAGGTTTGAACTCACATGAACTCACTCGCTAAGTCTCCCTGCTGCAATTCGCCAATCTCGCATCTCATAAATGGTAACCAGGTACCATCGCCAAAATTCCGAAAGCCCCACTTCAAGTCAAAGCGGAATCGCTGGAACCAACCCTAAAACCAAGCTGCCTAAGCTACTATGTCCCCAATCTAGTAGTACTGAAGGCCCGTATTCAGGCCCCCGTTTTTCCATGCGACCGTCCATGACTTACCGCGCTCATCGCGGTGCAATGGAGTGCGCCGCATCCCTACACCTCGTCGGCGCGCTGCTCCTGGTGGCGTGTCTTCGTGTCGCACGAGTCGACTGCGTTCCCTTGGCCGACTCCCAGGGTGCGTGCTCTGCGCGTTAAGCACCGTCTTACCGGTAGCGTGCCTCCCACGGCTTCTAGTAGTTTCACTCGCTCCGTGTCGCTTTTTCAGTTGGGCGTGGAGCGGGGATGGTGGTGCCGGGACGAAGGGCGGGCAGAGTGGGAATGGTGGTGCCGGGACGAAGGGCGGGCGGAGTGGGAATGGGCTGTTCGCAGGATGACGCGAGTGTGATCGGGGAGCAGGTGAGCAGCAGAGGTGGGAGAGGAGGTGGGGAAGGAGGTGAGGTAGGAAGCAGGAGTAAAGGTGGGAGAGGTGGGAGAGGTGGGAGAGGTGGGAGAGGTGGGAGAGGAGGCATGAGAGGAGGTGGGAGACAGGACCATTGCTTGATTCCTAGCTGCTCCCTGCCCCTCCCCATGTTTCCCTCGCTGCTCCCTGCCCCTCTCCGTGTCTTCCCCAGTGGCCTCTAAGTGCACGCGATGCCGTGAGCACTCAGATTCCTAAGTGCACGCGATGCCGTGAGCACTCAGATTCCTAAGTGCACGCGATGCCGTCAGCACTCAGATTCCTCTTCAGGAACTGGCACCACGTGGAGGGCATGTGATGAGCCCAGGTGGAGCCGTGCAATCCCCTCTCTCCCAGTCCACGTGGAGGAGGGCATGTGATGCGCTTTCCTCTCATGTCCACGCTCCTCTCATGTCCACGCTCCTCTCATGTCCACGCTCCTCTCATGTCCACGCTCCTCTCTCTCATTCTCTCACTCCTTGGCTCTCTCTCCTCTCGTTCACGCCCTGCCCTCCCCCCCTCCTGCCGCCAGCGCAAGTGCTGCTGGACTGTCAGAAGGCGTGGAACAAAACGTTTGACGGCTGGGTGGTTGGTGGGGACTGCAGCAAGGCGAAAAACATCTCGTGCAATTCCCAGGGCATGATAACGGCCTTGTAAGTGGTAACAAGCATGGGAGTGATAACAGGCATGATGTGAGTGGTAACAGGCATGTGAGTGGTAACAGGCATGTGAGTGGTTGATAACAGGCATGTAGGCAGGGAAGAGAAGAGGAGAGGGGGGGAAGGGATGGCAGGGAGTGGAAGGGATCCTAAGAAGGGAAGGTGGGGATGGGTTTAGTGAAGGGATGGGAGGGGGTTCGCTTAAAGAAGGGATGGGAGGGGGTTCGCTTAAAGAAGGGATGGGAGGGGGTTCGCTTAAAGAAGGGATGGGAGGGGGTTCGCTTAAAGAAGGGATGGGAGGGGGTTCGCTTAAAGAAGGGATGGGAGGGGGTTCGCTTAAAGAAGGGATGGGAGGGGGTTCGCTTAAAGAAGGGATGGGAGGGGGTTCGCTTAAAGAAGGGATGGGAGGGGGTTCGCTTAAAGAAGGGATGGGAGGGGGTTCGCTTAAAGAAGGGATGGGAGGGGGTTCGCTTAAAGAAGGGATGGGAGGGGGTTCGCTTAAAGAAGGGATGGGAGGGGGTTCGCTTAAAGAAGGGATGGGAGGGGGTTCGCTTAAAGAAGGGATGGGAGGGGGTTCGCTTAAAGAAGGGATGGGAGGGGGTTCGCTTAAAGAAGGGATGGGAGGGGGTTCGCTTAAAGAAGGGATGGGAGGGGGTTCGCTTAAAGAAGGGATGGGAGGGGGTTCGCTTAAAGAAGGGATGGGAGGGGGTTCGCTTAAAGAAGGGATGGGAGGGGGTTCGCTTAAAGAAGGGATGGGAGGGGGTTCGCTTAAAGAAGGGATGGGAGGGGGTTCGCTTAAAGAAGGGATGGAGGGGGTTCGCTTAAAGAAGGGATGGGAGGGGGTTCGCTTAAAGAAGGGATGGGAGGGGGTTCGCTTAAAGAAGGGATGGGAGGGGGTTCGCTTAAAGAAGGGATGGGAGGGGGTTCGCTTAAAGAAGGGATGGGAGGAGGTTCGCTTAAAGAAGGGATGGGAGGGGGTTCGCTTAAAGAAGGGATGGGAGGGGGTTCGCTTAAAGAAGGGATGGGAGGGGGTTCGCTTAAAGAAGGGATGGGAGGGGGTTCGCTTAAAGAAGGGATGGACGGCGGAGACGGGAGGTTCAGAGAGGGCAGAAACTAGAGAGGGAGAGAGGGCTTGGAGGAGCCTTGAAGCCTCCTGCCCCTCTCCTCCTCGTCCTCGCCAACCCATTCTCCAGCCAACCCATTCTCCAGCCAACCCATTCTCCAGCCAACCCATTCTCCAGCCAACCCATTCTCCAGCCAACCCATTCTCCAGCCAACCCATTCTCCAGCCAACCCATTCTCCAGCCAACCCATTCTCCAGCCAACCCATTCTCCAGCCAACCCATTCTCCAGCCAACCCATTCTCCAGCCAACCCATTCTCCAGCCAACCCATTCTCCAGCCAACCCATTCTCCAGCCAACCCATTCTCCAGCCAACCCATTCTCCAGCCAACCCATTCTCCAGCCAACCCATTCTCCAGCCAACCCATTCTCCAGCCAACCCATTCTCCAGCCAACCCATTCTCCAGCCAACCCATTCTCCAGCCAACCCATTCTCCAGCCAACCCATTCTCCAGCCAACCCATTCTCCAGCCAACCCATTCTCCAGCCAACCCATTCTCCAGCCAACCCATTCTCCAGCCAACCCATTCTCCAGCCAACCCATTCTCCAGCCAACCCATTCTCCAGCCAACCCATTCTCCAGCCAACCCATTCTCCAGCCAACCCATTCTCCAGCCAACCCATTCTCCAGCCAACCCATTCTCCAGCCAACCCATTCTCCAGCCAACCCATTCTCCAGCCAACCCATTCTCCAGCCAACCCATTCTCCAGCCAACCCATTCTCCAGCCAACCCATTCTCCAGCCAACCCATTCTCCAGCCAACCCATTCTCCAGCCAACCCATTCTCCAGCCAACCCATTCTCCAGCCAACCCATTCTCCAGCCAACCCATTCTCCAGCCAACCCATTCTCCAGCCAACCCATTCTCCAGCCATCCAACCCATTCTCCAGCCAACCCATTCTCCAGCCAACCCATTCTCCAGCCAACCCATTCTCCAGCCAACCCATTCTCCAGCCAACCCATTCTCCAGCCAACCCATTCTCCAGCCAACCCATTCTCCAGCCAACCCATTCTCCAGCCAACCCATTCTCCAGCCAACCCATTCTCCAGCCAACCCATTCTCCAGCCAACCCATTCTCCAGCCAACCCATTCTCCAGCCAACCCATTCTCCAGCCAACCCATTCTCCAGCCAACCCATTCTCCAGCCAACCCATTCTCCAGCCAACCCATTCTCCAGCCAACCCATTCTCCAGCCAACCCATTCTCCAGCCAACCCATTCTCCAGCCAACCCATTCTCCAGCCAACCCATTCTCCAGCCAACCCATTCTCCAGCCAACCCATTCTCCAGCCAACCCATTCTCTCACCATTCTCCAGCCAACCCATTCTCCAGCCAACCCATTCTCCAGCCAACCCATTCTCCAGCCAACCCATTCTCCAGCCAACCCATTCTCCAGCCAACCCATTCTCCACCCCAACCCATTCTCCAGCCAACCCATTCTCCACCCCAACCCATTCTCCAGCCAACCCATTCTCCACCCCAACCCATTCTCCAGCCAACCCATTCTCCACCCCAACCCATTCTCCAGCCAACCCATTCTCCACCCCAACCCATTCTCCAGCCAACCCATTCTCCAGCCAACCCATTCTCCAGCCAACCCATTCTCCAGCCAACCCATTCTCCAGCCAACCCATTCTCCACCCCAACCCATTCTCCAGCCAACCCATTCTCCAGCCTATGTTGCAAAAGTCGCGCCCAGCGCACTATACGCAAGCGTATATACGCTTGCGTATAGTGCGTTATGCGCTTCGTGAGTGACTTTGAAAGTCGCAGAAAGTACGCTGCCTGGGCAGCAAAAGGTTTTTACCGGGCAGACGAAAAAAACCGCCTAAGGAGGGGGGGGGGAGTGGTGGTTTTACCGAATTTCATATATTGAAAAAACCCACCATTCTCAACTACTCTAAGCAAGCAACATGCATCTCTCCTACCCCACCCCCTACTCCCACCCTCTACTCCCCCCGTCCCTTCCTTCCTCCTCTACTTGTACTCATCCTCCAGCTCATCCTCCTCCCCCTCCTCCTCATCCTCCTCCAGAACCTCGTTGTGCCCTTCCGGCAGGGAGGCCTCAGGGATGTTCCCCGGGAGAACCGTCACCCACTCAGCCCCCTTGTGCCAATTGCGCACAATGTTCCAATTGTGCGCAACATACACGAGGTCCCGACACTTCTCGGACCCCAACCTGTTGCGCTTGGCAGTGTGGATCGATTCCCACACTGCCCAGTTCCTCTCACACGCCGATGCGGACACTGGCTGAGAGAGAACGCGGCAAGCGAGCGTTGTCAGCTCGGGGTGCTCCGTCCCGTGCCACGTCCACCACTGGACGGCCGTCTTCTTACCGGCCTTCACGAGCTCACGGTCAGAGATGGCGTCGGGTAGGCCGAAGCTCCCCTAAAGGGTGTTGAATGCCGTTAGGCCGTCCTGGATGACGTGGGATGCGCGCAGCTCCTCGCCATCCTTGCGCGTGACGGTCCGCCCTGCGTAGTGACGAGCGACAAACGCTTTGAAGACGCGAGTACACTCCAGGTCGGTGCGGAAGATGCCTTCCTCTTGGTTGACCGGGTTGAGGATCCGGCCAACCACGTGCATGGCACACGCCATGCTATGGTCCCAGCGCTTTTGGACGATGTTGGTCACCTCCGTGCGTTCACTGCTGGACAGCACCAATCCCGCCTCCTCCTCCTCCAGCTTCGCATTGATGTCTTCCGTGAGCTGCAGCATCAGATCGTACATCCTGCCCATCATGCCCTTGGCCGTCGAGTCGGTCTTGCGCATGACGACAAAGGGGATCTTCAGGAGGGCGACGAAGAACTCCGCACCTTTCCACCACACGGCATCCATGATCATGGTTGCGAAGGGCTCGACCGGCGGCTTCCTCCCCTTCGCCCAAGCCTGCCACTCCGGGCTCAGCACCATCTGCGTCAATGCACTCCGCACCTCGCAAAGCCGCTGCACCGCGATGAATTGCGTGCCAAATCTGGTGCCCGCCGGCTTCAGCACCTGCTTCCCCTTCCCTCCCTTCACTTGCGGGCTTCGCATGTAACCTTTGGTGAAATGGTGGGCACGCACAAAGGTAATAATCACCCCCGCCTTAGCCACAATGTCCTTCGCCCAATCCATTTTCCCAATGTCCTCCATGAGCAGATCCATGACGTGAGTAGCGCACGGCACATGCTCAATGTGAGGATACTCAAGCATGAGTTCCCTACATGCAGCCGCATAATTACTGCCCCCATCCATGCATAACGCAACTATGTTGGCGGGCCCCACCTTCTCAATGATCGGGCGCAAAACGGATGCAATGTAGCCTCCCGTCTTCGTCTCCAACTTACAGTCGATGCTTTCGGTGAACACTGCACCGGAATCGTTGATGAGCAGGATGTTGGCTTGGGGACGGCCACTTTTGTCCGTCATCATGTCCGAGCCTATCGTCACGCCATCCCGCTTCCAGCTCGCAGTGATGGGAGCGAGCCCCCTCTCGATCTTTTCGCGGCAGCGCGCAAGGCCGGCGCCACCAACATACCGCCGCTTCAGGGGAACGTAGCCATGGCCCGCGTCCGTGATGCAGCGCACAGCGTTGCGCCAGAGAGGGTGATCGGCGAGATGCTCCGGGAGGTGAAGTGCCGCCCACATGAGGCAGATGGCGTCGTCTGCCGATTCCTTCGCACACGACGCCCCTTCCCCGTAGAAGTCTTCGATGCACTGCTTCTTCGCTCCACCCGCACACGCCTCGATCGCCATCTCCTCCGCCTTCTTCTTCCCTTCCCTGCGGGCGTGTTTGCCTCCGTACAATTCGCGGACGGCGCCGCGGTCAGCAGAAGGGATAGGCGCCTTGCAAAGACGGACGTCCTTCCGTTTCAGCCCTTTCCAGCGCGTGATGTGTTGCGCGCAACGGAAGGCGCCCCCTACGAACTTAAGCTTGCAGTGCCGGCATATGCGGAGAGTACGCTCAGGACCATTCGAGGTACCTTCGGTAGAGGTAAGGAAATGCTTAAAAATAACATGGGTGTTCACAGGAACATCCTTGTCGTCCGCCATGGTCGCGTCATTCGAAACACTAGGAGCCTCACTAGTGGCACTTGCGGGAGTACCAGAAGGAGTCGACATCAAGTGCAGGTGAGCGGGAGTGTTGAGAGAGAATGAACGAGAGAGATAATACAGATGACGGGAATGAGAGCTTAACTTATAGTCCAGGATGTGGTTGAACCACCTACGCTGGTTGACGACATTCGTGTTTGTGTGTTGGAGTCGCGTCGCGCGATAGCATAGGGTGCAGTGCGGTTCAAATTTTCCCACGTCCCCACATTTTGACAGGTGTGGGTGACAATGTGGTTGGGACGTGCGTACAAATTGGGGTGGGACGTGCGTACATTTTGAGTCGCGTCGCACATTCGCAATTCGTGCGCGACTATTGAAATCTGGTTTTTTTTCGGGTCAGCCCGAACTTTCGCCAACGAATATACGTACGACTTGCGTACACCGTATATTCGTAAACGACTATACGGAGTGCGCTTATGGTTTCTGGCGACTTTTCCAATATAGTCTCCAGCCAACCCATTCTCCAGCCAACCCATTCTCCAGCCAACCCATTCTCCAGCCAACCCATTCTCCAGCCAACCCATTCTCCAGCCAACCCATTCTCCAGCCAACCCATTCTCCAGCCAACCCATTCTCCAGCCAACCCATTCTCCAGCCAACCCATTCTCCAGCCAACCCATTCTCCAGCCAACCCATTCTCCAGCCAACCCATTCTCCAGCCCAACCCATTCTCCAGCCAACCCATTCTCCAGCCAACCCATTCTCCAGCCAACCCATTCTCCAGCCAACCCATTCTCCAGCCAACCCATTCTCCACCCAACCCATTCTCCAGCCAACCCATTCTCCAGCCAACCCATTCTCCAGCCAACCCATTCTCCAGCCAACCCATTCTCCAGCCAACCCATTCTCCAGCCAACCCATTCTCCAGCCAACCCATTCTCCAGCCAACCCATTCTCCAGCCAACCCATTCTCCAGCCAACCCATTCTCCAGCCAACCCATTCTCCAGCCAACCCATTCTCCAGCCAACCCATTCTCCAGCCAACCCATTCTCCAGCCCAACCCATTCTCCAGCCAACCCATTCTCCACCCAACCCATTCTCCAGCCAACCCATTCTCCACCCCAACCCATTCTCCAGCCAACCCATTCTCCACCCCAACCCATTCTCCAGCCAACCCATTCTCCAGCCAACCCATTCTCCAGCCAACCCATTCTCCAGCCAACCCATTCTCCAGCCAACCCATTCTCCAGCCAACCCATTCTCCAGCCAACCCATTCTCCAGCCAACCCCTTCCCCCGTCCTCTTCTTCCTCCACCCCCCCCTCCTCCTCCTCCTCCTCCTCCTCCTCCTCCTCCTCCTCCTCCTCCTCCTCCTCCTCCTCCTCCTCCTCCTCCTCCTCCTCCTCCTCCTCCTCCTCCTCCTCCTCCTCCTCCTCCTCCTCCTCCTCCTCCTCCTCCTCCTCCTCCTCCACCTCCACCACTCGCACCCCGGCCACCACCCTCCCACTAAGGCGGAATGTGTGTGCGCTGGGGAGCGTCCTGGGAGGAGAAACCTTTCGGAGAATGCCCGGCGTTCCGGAGTTGCCACCAGCGACGAACCCTGACGGCCCTGGCTGTCCCCCATCGTTTCCCCTCCCTGGTCGCCACGGTCAATGAGTCCGTCAGGACGACAACTAACAGTAAACCGCGTTTACACAACAGTGGATCTGTAAAAAACAGGCACTTAGTGGCGGGAATGCCTAAGCACCCTAGAATGTGCGCGTTTTGGCTAATGTTAAAGGCCACTTATTGCCTAAGCCTGTTCTGAACTAAAAGCTTGAGATTGAGCTCGGGATGAGCTCAATCTCAGAATTTCGCAACCGCAAATTGTAAACCAGCGCGGCCAATATCGCGCTGGTTCTTATCGCAAACACTTTGATGTTCGCGTTGAACTCGAACCCGTTCGAACCTAAAAATACTTTCGAACTGAACATGTTTGAGTCATGAAAATGCTCATGTCTAGGTGATAAGAAGCATGTGAGTGGACACTGGTGCTTTTGATGCGAGCAGAGTTTTGTGATTGAGATGATTGAAGGAACGCATGGGACTTGACCCTCGGAGCGTGAATGGCAGCATGGCTGTCAGAACGCCAATTCCTCATGGTTTCGTCCCCTCCCCACCCCTCTTCTCCCCTGGTCCTTCGATCCTTTTCTCCGTATGCGTCATCACTCTTTTGCTCCCTCCATCCCTCCTTCCATTCTCTCCTTCAAACTCTGCTTCCTCTCTCCTTCAAACTCTGCTTCCTCTCTTCTTCACTCTGGCTTTCACACGCTCCCTGTCATGGTAGACAACAGCACATCGTACCACCTTCTTCCCTGCCTCTTCACATGCTGTTGCCACGTAACATTGTCACCTCTCTTGCCCTTTACCCCTCACTATAATTTATAAACCCCATTACCACCTTTCCGTCTGCTTTGCTTTCTCTCACCTCTTGCGGATAGGAGACCTTTTTAGTACCTGTCTTCCAATACTGTATATTAGACATGAGCATCGCACGAATCCGAACACGTTTGAGTCGAACATTTCCGAACACCTTGAACTTTCAAACCGAACGTGTTCGGTTCGTTCGAACACTTTTCCAGGAAGTACTGTTTGAGTGTTCGCATTCAGGGGCGAATACTTAGATGTTCGAGGGAACATAGGAGGGTTCAGTCAACAGGACATGTCACACACATGCTGGGAATCACGCCACATGCAAACCAGACCACAACCTTATATGTATCTCTCTAGCTACTATATTGATTTCATGGGCCCTCCCCAGGAGGACAGAACGACACTTCCCCTGCTAGGATTAGGAAAAGGAAGGCAGTCACCACGACATAACACACACACACATTCCGGAAACCATGCACCTTGCACACAAACAAGCAGCCCAAGTATGAAGTTGGTCTAGCTAGCTACTAAAGGTTGATGGTGTCAAATCTGCAAGCACTGCATGCCGGTCACCACCACACAGACAAGGCCATAGAGCTACGCCTGCATCAAACCCCACCCGCCCATAGCCCCCTCCCCTGCCCCATATGGTGCATAATCCCCCCTCAAGCCGCCGCTGCCTTGCGCCGCACGGCCACCTCCCGCACCCTCTACCGCTCTCGCCTCCTCCTCCGCCTCCTCGTCCTCCCCATCCTCAATGCACGGATCATGACATGACACACACACAGTACGAGAACCAAGCATCCTGCACACAAACAAGCAGGCCAGGTACCACGTATGTCTAGCTACTAAATGTTCATGGTATAAAATCAGCAAGCACTTCATGCCAGACACCACCATGCAGACCAATCCATAGAGCTATGCCTGTGTCAATCCCTGCCCGCCCATAGCCCCCTCCCCTGCCCCATATGGTGCAGAATCCCCCCCCACGCCGTTGCTGCTCTGCTCCACACGTAGGGATCGCCCCTACACGAACACAGCTGTTTGCCGAACCGAACACTGTTCGGTTCGGCGAACACTTTAAGCAAAACCAGGTGAGTCCCGTACCATGACCGTAGAGTCATGCACGCACTCACCCGCTCGTTGCTGAGACGCTGCCGCTTCCACGAGATCAAGTCCCTACCCATGGAGAACGCTCTCTCACTGGCAGCAGATGTTGCTGGGATCGCCAGATAGTCCCGCGCCATCTGCTTCAGTGTGGCCATGTTCTCTGCCTGCTGCCATTACTGCAGTGCCGTCATGCTGTAGACCGGCATCTCGGCCAAGTACCGCTCCACCTTGTCCTGCACTGCTACCACCCCACCTCCCCCCCCCCCCCCCCCCCAGCTGCTGCCCTCGCAGCCACCCGTGCCTGAAGCCTCTGCTTGCTAGGGAGGAACTCGTCGTCGTCGTCGTCCTCTGCTGCGACTGCAACTGCTGCTGCGGGGGGTGGCTGTGGTGCAGGAGCCTGGGCTGCTGCACGAGCACGATACTCAGCCACATGCCTCCTCACCAGGCTAACGACCCTCTCAGCGCCCACACGCAGCCGCACCCTCCCACTCCCCTGCGCCATCAACTCTGGGTGCTGCTGCTCCCAGTGTGGCATGGAGAAGTACTCCGCCTTCATTGACGGGTCAAAGAAGGTGGCATGGCAATCGCGTGCTCGTCCCCAATCGCGAAGTCATACTTCTTCAAATGCTCCAGCGCAGCCTCAAAGAGCTGCTTCTCCAAGCTGTCGATGAGTCCGTTGTAATACGGCAGCACCATCGACAGGGTGGGATAAGCCGACCCTTTTGCAGCCTTGGAGACTTTGGCGAAAGGTTTCAGAAACCGCTCCAGAGCCTGCAAGGCCTCCCACTCCTCATTGGCCACGCGCAGTGACCGCCACTTCTCGCGCTCTTCCTTGGTGGTTCCCTGTAGTGGGGAGAGGGCGGGTGTGGGAAGAACGGGACCCGTGCTTCAATGTAATGGGCAAGTGCAAAAGGGTCAGCCAACAACGAAGAGTGGTACAGCTCAATGGTGTTAGCAAAGCATATCACGTGCATTTGATGACAAGTCTACCTGGTCAATGGAGAGCCACATGTTGATGAAGCGCTTCACTAAGAGGAATCGCACCACCATCTCGTGCGTTGACCCCCAGCGCGTAGGGCTGTCTTGGACCAGCTTGTGCGGGCCGCCCGGCAGTACCGTGTTCGCAACCTGAAGCTGCATCCAAGCTGCTGACCGTTTCGTGGACATGCAAGGTCGCGAAGCTTCTTCAAAAGCTTCTGCAGCGAATCGACGGCCAGCGCTGATTGAACCGAACAGTGTTCGATGTGTGCGAGGCATCTGCAGAAAGGGGAGAGGGATTGAGGGTTTTGGGAAGGAAACCAAGGGAGAGAGGGGAGACAGGGGAAAGGTCGGTTTAGGTGTTATGGATGGTCCAGGACATGAGGCTTTATGTTAGGGAGTGAAGGGATTGCATGGTATGGATAGGAGCGAAGGGACGAGTGGGAAGTTCAGGAATGGGGGAGGGAGGTACATAACGTACCTAAAGTGCGCGCACTCGTGGAAGTACAGCTTGCGCACGCCCTCCTCAGAGAGCAAACGGAGGGCCGCAACGTTGGAAGACGCGTTGTCGGTCATGAGACCGAGGCAACGCGTCTCCAACTTCCATTCCTCCACCACCTCCTCCACCACCTCCTCCACCACCTCCTCCACCACCTCCTCCATCACCTCCTCCATCACCTCCTCCACCACCTCCGCAATCCGCACAGCACTATGCCCGTTAGGCATCTCCCGGAATGCGAGTACCATCTGACGCAGCTCCCAAGTGTCGGAGATGCAGTGGGCCGTCACCACCATGTATGATTTCCCATTAGGGCTGGTCCAAATGTCCGTGGTGTACGAAACCGGGCTGGTGTCCGTGGTCACTTGGTCTTCGCCAACTCGGCGATCGCAGCCTCCTTTGCCTTCTTGGCGAATACGACCGTGTCTCGTGCGACAGTCCAACGTGTGGGTACAACACCTTTCTCGCCACACTGGGTGTTGAAGTATGCTAGCAACTCTTTGAACTGCCACGTACACATGGGAAAGAATGAAGTAGGGGCGGGAGAGAGAGTGTTTAGGTGAATTCAATCGACAGGGAACGTAAGTAAGGAAGCACATGACTTGGGTGGACTTAGGTGGGACACCAATGCATGACATGAACTCATGAAGCGTTTGCTCACGGCATCCGAGTCGACCACGCGGAACGCCAAATCGCATGCGACCACCAGCTTGGTGATCAACTGGCGCAATTTGGAGCGGCTGACCCTCTCCGCCAGGTACCGCTCTATGCCCCCCGCCTTGCCACCGGTCTGCGCACGACTGGATGCAGGCAGGCGAGGCCAAGTGCTCACCCCTGGGTAGTTCCTTTTTTCCCCGTTCGGTACCCCTTTGTAGCCTCCCTCGGGGAACGTCTCTCCAGGCTTCAGCAGATGAGGGTTGTAGTGAGAACGGTGCTTCCAGATGAGGGTTGTAGTGAGAACGGTGCTTCCAGATGAGGGTTGTAGTGAGAACGGTGCTTCCAGATGAGGGTTGTAGTGAGAACGGTGCTTCCAGATGAGGGTTGTAGTGAGAACGGTGCTTCCAGATGAGGGTTGTAGTGAGAACGGTGCTTCCAGATGAGGGTTGTAGTGAGAACGGTGCTTCCAGATGAGGGTTGTAGTGAGAACGGTGCTTCCAGACCAGATGAGGGTTGTAGTGAGAACGGTGCTTCCAGATGAGGGTTGTAGTGAGAACGGTGCTTCCAGATGAGGGTTGTAGTGAGAACGGTGCTTCCAGATGAGGGTTGTAGTGAGAACGGTGCTTCCAGATGAGGGTTGTAGTGAGAACGGTGCTTCCAGATGAGGGTTGTAGTGAGAACGGTGCTTCCAGATGAGGGTTGTAGTGAGCACGGTGCTTCCAGATGAGGGTTGTAGTGAGAACGGTGCTTCCAGATGAGGGTTGTAGTGAGAACGGTGCTTCCAGATGAGGGTTGTAGTGAGAACGGTGCTTCCAGATGAGGGTTGTAGTGAGCACGGTGCTTCCAGATGAGGGTTGTAGTGAGAACGGTGCTTCCAGATGAGGGTTGTAGTGAGAACGGTGCTTCCAGATGAGGGTTGTAGTGAGAACGGTGCTTCTAGATGAGGGTTGTAGTGAGAACGGTGCTTCCAGATGAGGGTTGTAGTGAGAACGGTGCTTCCAGATGAGGGTTGTAGTGAGAACGGTGCTTCCAGATGAGGGTTGTAGTGAGAACGGTGCTTCCAGATGAGGGTTGTAGTGAGAATGGTGCTTCCAGATGAGGGTTGTAGTGAGAACGGTGCTTCCAGATGAGGGTTGTAGTGAGAACGGTGCTTCCAGATGAGGGTTGTAGTGAGAACGGTGCTTCGAGATGAGGGTTGTAGTGAGAACGGTGCTTCCAGATGAGGGTTGTAGTGAGAACGGTGCTTCCAGATGAGGGTTGTAGTGAGAACGGTGCTTCCAGATGAGGGTTGTAGTGAGAACGGTGCTTCCAGATGAGGGTTGTAGTGAGAACGGTGCTTCCAGATGAGGGTTGTAGTGAGAACGGTGCTTCGAGATGAGGGTTGTAGTGAGAACGGTGCTTCCAGATGAGGGTTGTAGTGAGCACGGTGCTTCCAGATGAGGGTTGTAGTGAGAACGGTGCTTCCAGATGAGGGTTGTAGTGAGAACGGTGCTTCTAGATGAGGGTTGTAGTGAGAACGGTGCTTCCAGATGAGGGTTGTAGTGAGAACGGTGCTTCCAGATGAGGGTTGTAGTGAGAACGGTGCTTCCAGATGAGGGTTGTAGTGAGAACGGTGCTTCCAGATGAGGGTTGTAGTGAGAACGGTGCTTCCAGATGAGGGTTGTAGTGAGAACGGTGCTTCCAGATGAGGGTTGTAGTGAGAACGGTGCTTCCAGATGAGGGTTGTAGTGAGAACGGTGCTTCCAGATGAGGGTTGTAGTGAGAACGGTGCTTCCAGATGAGGGTTGTAGTGAGAACGGTGCTTCCAGATGAGGGTTGTAGTGAGAACGGTGCTTCCAGATGAGGGTTGTAGTGAGAACGGTGCTTCCAGATGAGGGTTGTAGTGAGAACGGTGCTTCCAGATGAGGGTTGTAGTGAGAACGGTGCTTCCAGATGAGGGTTGTAGTGAGAACGGTGCTTCCAGATGAGGGTTGTAGTGAGAACGGTGCTTCCAGATGAGGGTTGTAGTGAGCACGGTGCTTCCAGATGAGGGTTGTAGTGAGAACGATGCTTCCAGATGAGGGTTGTAGTGAGCACGGTGCTTCCAGATCTCGTGATGGGCTGTGCGCCACGCCACGTAGTGGCGCATACCTGCGGAATGGTTGGAAATAGGGGAAGGGACAGCAGTTCAAAGAGGGGGAAAGGCAACAGGGGAACAAAGGTGTGAAAGGAAGGCGGTGAAGGAGAGGGCAGGGAAGGAGGGCAGAGATGGTAGAGTTGGGAACTGCGGGTGGTGAGTGATACGAATGGTGCGGCAGCAAAATGAATGGTATGGCAGCAAGTGTAGGACAGTGCATGCACAAACGGTGGTTAAATGAAGGAAAGGGGTGCCCTTTATGGGAGAGAAGACAATAGTGCGGCAGGGAAGGGACTAGGAGAGGGGGGGAGATTCAGCGAGGTATGAAAAATGAGAGAGTGTAAGAATATGAAGAAGGGGAGGATAGTGGGACACACCCGGGGTGGTTGTCCCTTGCTGCCAAGAGACTACTTCGTCGCACATCTTGCATTTCCTCCGTTCCCCCTCCAAGAGAGGCCCCCACATCTGTACCGCCCAGCCGGGGGGTCTTGGAGCAGGTGTTTTCTTGGGCGGAGGACGCGACTCATCCCCACAATCCGACACCCCCTTTCCCCTCTTGCGCTTTCCCTTTTCCTTACGATTTTTATTCCTAGCTGCTTGTGCACAACCCGCGTTAACCCTGCCCTTGCCCTTTCTTCTCCCCACTACGCCCTTTGAAGCCTCCTCCTGCACCTCCTCCTCTTCCTCGTCTGCCTCCGCCCCACCTTCCTCTTCTCCAGGAGAATACTGAGAGCCACTCTCGCTTCCGCTACCCGGAGAGAGAGGGGCGCTTCTCTGCACCTTAACCCATTTTCCAGCCAGCCCCTTCCTCCGTCATACCCTTCCCCCACCATCTCCCGCCTCAACCTCCTCCCCCGCCTCCTCCTCCTCCTCCTCCTCCTCCTCCTCCTCCTCCTCCTCCTCCTCCTCCTCCTCCTCCTCCTCCTCCTCCTCCTCCTCCTCCTCCTCCTCTTCCTCCTCCTCCTCCTCCTCCTCCTCCTCCTCCTCCTCCTCCTCCTCCTCCTCCTCCTCCTCCTCCTCCTCCTCCTCCTCCTCCTCCTCCTCCTCCTCCTCCTCCTCCTCCTCCTCTGACCCCTCATCCTCCCCCTCCTCCTCCTCCTCCTCTGACCACCCCTCCTCCTCGTCCTCCTCGTCATCCGCCTCCTTCTCAACCACTCCCCCCGTGGCCACCACCCTCCCACTAAGGTGGAATGTATGTTCGGAGGTGGGCATGCTGTGGAAGAGCGACCCGGGACCGGGCACCTCTCGGGGATTGCCCAGTTGGGCGTCGCCACCCACGCCCAATTTTGACGGTTTGGCTGTCCGTCATTTCCCCACCCTGAACCGGCAGCACCAGTCCCTTCCATACCCTTTATATCTAGTTTCTATACGAGGTTATTCTCTGGAAATGACGGTGGGGTAACGTCCGTGGGCGACTGCCTTGTCGCCACGGGTGAAAAGTCTCAGCGGACCACCACTAACGGACGGTACCCCGCGTTTACACTATTATAGATCTGGAAAATACAGGCGTTTAACCACAATAATGCCTAAGTACCCTGCAATGTCCGCGCTTTTGGCTGTTGTTTGTGTAAACTAGGTGCCTAAGCCATGTCTTAACTTAAGGCAAGAGATTGAACTCGAAATGTGCTCAATCTCAGATCTACGCAACCCTAAATCTAAAACCAGCGTGGCCAATGTCGCGCTGGTTTTTATCGCGCACACTTTGATGTTCGCGTAAGTGTAATTCAAACTAGAACCTGTTCGAGTTCGAGGTGGCGCGGTAAAAAAAGGCGTGCGAACTCGAACATGTTCGAGTCGAACCGAACAGGCGGTCGAGATTATGCTCATGTCTACTGTATATCGTGCCATTGTCCCCCTATGTAGAAAGCTAAACTCAGTCAAGTTACTGGGCCCGTTTCCTTCAGCCATTGGCAACTTGACCAGCTTGACAATTTTGTCAGTTCGCTCTTCTACCTTTCCGCTTTTCTTTTCAAACAGGTAACGTAATTGCTGCTCTTTCCTAATCAACTCCATTCAAACACTAAGGTGGGAAAGAATGCCACCGCACTTTCTACGTAAGCGTTTCTGCTGCACTAGCGTAAAACTACATTGCACACTTCTAAGTTCTTTTACTCATTCGTGGTCTATCAAGTGTGCTGTGAGATCACTCTCTCTCATTCGTGACATGAGCTCTAGTTTGGTCCAGCGGCACATTTCGAAATTCATGCGACGCTGTGGTTGGGATTTTTATCGATGCCATGTGTGAATACACGTTAGCCCTCTAGTAGCAAATCGGTAGAGGTTTACTCATTAGAGAAAATATTGCTGTTCTCATGAGTTATTTTTGTGCTCTGTTAAAGCTGGGATACATTCATCATGGCGCATAAAATTAATACTCGCAGTGTCCATCCATGTTTCATTTATTCTGACTTTTAAAATAAATGCACAGCACACACAGTGTTTCCCCCCCAGCTTATCAAGCAAGTACTTTTTCCGTACCCTCCAACTCATTTGTTTCTTTCTTGTCAGGAACCTTTGTGACAACAATATGTGGAGCACTATCCCAGACTCCTTCAGCCGCCTCAGAAGCCTTCGTTTGTTGTGAGCGGAACGGCGCATTCAGTTGACATATGAGCCACCACAGCTAGACACACACACACCCCGACTACCCACCGAGTCGAGTCCCTCCCTGACTGCCCGTTTTTAGTTTCAGAACGAATATTGTTTTCGTGCATCAGAGCGTCGAAGATATGTTGGTTCGGCCCCGAGCTGCATCAGAGATTCAGAGCGTCGAAGATATGTTGGTTCGGCCCCGAGCTGCATCAGAGCGTCCAAGATATTTTGGTTCGGCCCCGAGCTGCATCAGAGCGTCGAAGATATGTTGGTTCGGCCCCGAGCTGCATCAGACACGACACAAGCAATAAGGAGAGAAGGAGCTCGCCTTTCATTCTGGGAGAGGGTTAAGGGCTTGCATGGGAGGAGGGGCGAGTGACAAGGGCTTGGCCGAATCGAGGCGATTATCACTCTCGTCTCGAGGAGATAAGTTCTCACGTTGACAGGCCTTGTGAAGCCAGACCTAAAAAGGATTGACCTGTAGTGGTTAAACTTCGGATTGGCAAGCCTGCTCTCCAATCTGACTTGGACCGGTTGCTGTTTGGGGTTTAGGACATGTTTGAGATGCAGGGGCCACTGGCTTTGGAGGGGGGATGGGAGGAGAGGGGGGGGGGAGTGGCAGAGTCCCACGAGTAGAGTAGAGTAAAATCATTCGCCCTGAGAATAAAACCAAAGCCTCTGGCCGAGCCGAGTAACGAGTCATTTTCTAATGAATAAAGCTAGTCTCGAGTTTTACTCGACTTGGCTCGAAACTGGACTGAGTCAAGCGAAGATGAGTCGGGTACAACTTACGACCCGTAGAATGCTCGCGTGGAGTCGCATGCCGCACAATCCACGGCATGAATGGCTGGCTGGCTCAAGGATGGCATGGCATGTATGTTTTGAACCACGTTTCCAAGCATATTGGATGAGCCAGCTGAAGTCAATATTCTCCATCATAACCTCCCTCATTGATGCCCTCCCAATCTTCTTCCCTGGATTTCCATCCCAATGTGGAATTCTTCTGACATTACATCAGCGATCTCTACTTGAGTGGTGTGACCGGGGCTATTCCCACTTTCATTGCGGACTTCACCACCCTGACATACTTGTGAGTATCGCAGTGCTCTGGCAAGCTAGGCCAGGCGAGGCCTGTGTGTATCGTGATTATTGCAACCCTGTTCGGACTTGGCCACCCTGACAAAACTTTTGAGGATTATGACATTGCATTGCTAGGCCAGGCGGCGAGGTTTGCGCCTGGCAAGCTAGTCCAGGCGAGGCCAGCGCGAACCCAGGATGGACGTGACCTCCCTGACATTGTGCGAGTATTGTGACATTGCATTGCTAGACCAGGCAAGGCCTGCGCCTTACAAGGTAGGCGCTTAATCGCTTCTCTTTTACATGTGAGCACTTATCCTTTTTTATTCGTATGCAATCTGCACAAGCCACATCCATACTAGACAGTCCAATGCTGGAAACCAAGCCTATTTTGCATGGCATTCACAATGAATTAAATTGGGCTCACAACACTATGACAGTTGGGGCCTCATGTAATGCACTATCCATGTAGTGCACTATCCATGTAGTGCACTATCCATGTAGTGCACTATCCATGTAGTGCACTATCCATGTAGTGCACTATCCATGTAGTGCACTATCCATGTAGTGCACTATCCATGTAGTGCACTATCCATGTAGTGCACTATCCATGTAGTGCACTATCCATGTAGTGCACTATTCATGTACTGCACTATCCATGTAGTGCACTATCCATGTAGTGCACTATCCATGTAGTGCACTATTCGTGTAGTGCACTATCCATGTAGTGCGCTATCCATGTAGTGCACTATCCATGTAGTGCACTATCCATGTAGTGCACTATCCATGTAGTGCACTATCCATGTAGTGCACTATCCATGTAGTGCACTATCCATGTAGTGCACTATCCATGTAGTGCACTATCCATGTAGTGCACTATCCATGTAGTGCACTATCCATGTAGTGCACTATCCATGTAGTGCACTATCCATGTAGTGCACTATCCATGTAGTGCACTATCCATGTAGTGCACTATCCATGTAGTGCACTATTCATGTACTGCACTATCCATGTAGTGCACTATCCATGTAGTGCACTATCCATGTAGTGCACTATCCATGTAGTGCACTATCCATGTAGTGCGCTATCCATGTAGTGCACTATCCATGTAGTGCACTATCCATGTAGTGCACTGTCCATGTAGTGCACTGTCCATGTAGTGCACTATCCATGTAGTGCACTATCCATGTAGTGCACTATCCATGTAGTGCACTATCCATGTAGTGCACTATCCATGTAGTGCACTATCCATGTAGTGCACTATCCATGTAGTGCACTGTCCATGTAGTGCACTATCCATGTAGTGCACTATCCATGTAGTGCACTATCCATGTAGTGCACTATCCATGGACATTGCAGTCTGCCGCGGCGTCTAGATGCCGGGCGCTGACCATTTTCAGCGTCCACTCCACAGTAACTTAGCATTCTATGCCAGATCAGCGCATTTTATTGAGCAAGATAAGATGACCAATTCATGTTTTTGTGAGCAAAATGCCAATCTGCTCGGATCTGTCTCAGAGGAGCCGAGAGATGGTCAGTCATGGCCTCGGCACTGTATGGGCCAGTGGCTGAGTCTTGAAGGTCATGTGCTGTGCCTAGTGGTGGTAGGTATGTAGTAAGGGAGGGAAAACATGTGGGAGAGTTATGAAATGTATCATGGTTACAATTGTAATAATTTTCCCGCGTCAACAGTGTTCATATGTTCCTCACCAAGGTTAACTCACATGTGCGTCCAACATACAGTATAAGGTATAACACTCTTTCCTCGTGTGTACCCTTCCTCCTCTGTGCCGTCATTAGAGATCTTAGCTACAACAGCTTCACGGGCGCGATTCCCGAATCCATTAGCAGGCTCACAAACCTGCGTTACCTGTGCGTGACTGCTATTACTACCTATATGAGTGCAGCTACCTATCTTAAGCAGCGCGGCTACCTATCTTAAGCAGCGCGGCTACCTATCTTAAGCAGCGCGGCTACCTATCTTAAGCAGCGCGGCTACCTATCTTAAGCAGCGCGGCTACCTATCTTAAGCAGCGCGGCTACCTATCTTAAGCAGCGCGGCTACCTATCTTAAGCAGCGCGGCTACCTATCTTAAGCAGCGCGGCTACCTATCTTAAGCAGCGCAGCTACCTATCTTAAGCAGCGCGGCTACATATCTTAAGCAGCGCGGCTACCTATCTTAAGCAGCGCGGCTACCTATCTTAAGCAGCGCGGCTACCTATCTTAAGCAGCGCGGCTACCTATCTTAAGCAGCGCGGCTACCTATCTTAAGCAGCGCAACTATCTCAAGCAGTTGCGCAAGCAACCAGGGAGCCGTGACTCTTGTAGCAGTCGTTCATACTGGGCGGCTTATGACCCCCCCTTGGCGCATCACTCCCCCTTGGCTCGTCAACCTCCCTTGGCTCGTCAACCCCCCTTGGCTCGTCAACCCCCCTTGGCTCGTCAACCCCCCTTGGCTCGTCAACCTCCCTTGGCTCGTCAACCTCCCTTGGCTGGTCAACCTCCCTTGGTTCGTCAACCCCCCTTGGCTCGTCAACCTCCC